GGCGTTCACGCGTGCATGTAAGACCTTTACGCGCACGCTCATATGCGTGTGCGCAAGTGTATAACGTTTTCGCGTGCGCGTTTAATGTATAACGGACGGGCAAGCTAAAATTATATAATTATCTATTTCAGTTAATGTTGATGATTGCATTGTTTCTTAATCTTCGAGTTGGATGGGCTTATTATTTTTTGCAGACTATAAGAGCAATTTTATAAAAGTAAAACTTGAACTTTCGATTATGTCAATTTCCGATTCTGGAGCTCCCAAAGGATCTATAAAACGAAAGTATGTCTTGATGTTCGTCAAACAAAAAGTGGAATTGCTGCAAAAAATGGATAAAGACATGAAGAAGGTGACAGAGAGGTTAGTGAAAACGAAAAAATTTCGATTGACAAGTTAGTCGGTATTCTCGGCACAGCAATTACGGGACTTGTAACTGAACAAGAAATCATGTCTCTTTATAGAATTAAAGAGAAAGTATTATCACATAAAACGAAACAACTTACATTGAAAGAAATGTTTAATAAAGTAAACAAATAAATATTAAGCTTCTTTTTTTGTAATTTTGATACCCTTTAGATCATAATTGTTCTTTATTTCATAAATTATGGTTTCATATTTTTAATTTTAGAATTTGTGCATGCCATCTTACGAGATTTAAACTGATGATCTATAATCCGGAAAAATCGATAATCCGGAATCACCGAAGTCCCGACGAGTCCGGATTAACGACTTTTGACTGTATAACTTTGTACAAAAGCTTTCCAAATCAACACATTTAATACCGTAAGATCCCCAATACATAAGGACATAAATAATGTAAGCAACACTTACTAAAAGAGAAATCAGAGGGATAAAATGAAGCTTTATTGAAAAATAAGCATGGAGCCCAATGCGACTGAAGGCCGAAACATCCCTGTGATGAGTGTCCAACAAGAAACATCCGGTCTTTAATAGGGGATATGATCTCTCCTGACTGCTAGGCAGGTTTCACAGCGTCTGCCCATGCTGAGAATGAGGGTGTCAATGAGTTGTTGAGGCATTGCTGCCCATTCGTCTTGTAGCGCCAATCGAAGCTCCGGAATCTTTACTGGTGGTAAGGTACGAGCTGCCAAGCGTCTGCCTAGAAAATCCCATACATGCTCGATGGGATTGAGATCCGGAGATCGTGCCCGGCCAATCCATACGTTCAATATCCTCACTCTCTAAGAGCTGTTCGGCAGCTACTGTGCAATGACATGGTGGATTGTCGTCCATGAAAAGGAAATGCGGACCCATAGCGCCGCTAAAAAGACGCACATATGGAAGAAGAATCTCGTTACAATAATGGGTCCCGTTCACTAAACCTGCGTCGAAGATGTGAAGGTCTGTATGACTACCAAGCATGATGCCTCCCCAAACGAGAACACCGCCACCTCCATACCTGTCCCTTTCAATAATGTTCGAGGGATGATTGCGGCTTCCCCGCTCTCTCCAGATGAGTATGCGATGAGAATCGCTACTCAGACTGAATCTGTTCTCTTCTGTAAAGAGTACTCGTCCCCATTCATTGTCTCTCCAATTATGGTGTTCCCGGCACCACAGAGAATGCCTTCTCCGATGGGCAGGCGTTAGAGGTACACACCGTACAGGGCATCATGCAAACAGACCACCACCGTGCTGTCTTTTGGCCACGGTAAAACGCGATATCGGTCGTCCAGTCGCCTGTGTCGTGTGTCTAGCGATTTCTCCCGCTGTCTGCCACCTGTTTCTTCTGGCCTGTAAGGCATATACCGGTCATCTGCGGGGTGTGGTTCCTCGTGGACGACCACTACTAAACTCCCGGATAGCTGTTCCTGTAGTTTGAAATTGTCTCCAAAGTCGTGAAACGATGCTGTGAGCAATTCGGAACTCTGCAGCCACACTTGTCACACTGCGGCCTTCCCGTAACTTCCCAATAATTCGACCTCAGGTAAAAGCATCCAGATGTCGTCTAACAGATTGATTATTCGCCATTTCTTGCTGAGGCAGCAACTCGGTGTGATTTTAACTGCTATACGGCGTGCAATCTTTTTGCCAGAAATAATGATCTTACACTGACATCATGCTTTCTACTACTCAGACACTCCCCTATTACGTCTACCTGTATATCTGCGCATGTGCTACCGTACATCACCTTACTTAATCTCCTGATCGGTCTTTCTGTCCGCTCTGCCTCTTTGTTCAGCTGATATGCTAATTTTTCGACTTCGTCCTTAATTTTTGCACACCAGTGTATGTCTCAAAATTTAGTTTCCCAGTAACAAATAATGTGCAGTCTATGGTTGCACTTGTCTGCGAGCTTCATCATTCTGTCTACGCATATAATATCAAGCATTTCAAATTTTGTAAGTAACTCATTAACCCCTTAACTGCCGCGGGCGTATATATACGCCTTGCTCAGCCGATGCGTTAACTGCCCCAGATGCGCAGCCGATGCGTTAACTTTGCGAATAATTTTAGGTGTAGCAGCGCAAAGCAAATGATAGCAGTATGGAAGGACGTATATGTACGCTTGGGGCAGTTAACGCATTGGCTGAGCAAGGCTTATATATACGCCCGCGGCAGTTAAGGGGTTAATATACAAACATTGCAAAACGCTATCCAAATATGAGTAAAAAGTAACACCCACAAGAACAGTTATTGGAGATACAAAGGAAATGATGAAAATGACATTTTTATTACTGCAGCAAATTTCTATACTCAAAACTTCGAAATTAGTCCTGAAAATTAATGAAAATTACATTGACTCTTCTTTCTTTAATATCTCAAATGAGCTATCCAAGTAGTTAATAAATGAAAATAAATTGTAAAAAATGTATAAACTGAATAATTAAATTTAAGAATGGTCATTAACTAACTGTAAATCCTAGAAAAAGGTACAAAATAAGAAGTTAATAATAAATAAATGTAAGATTAATAATATTATAATTAAATAATTATCATATTTTTTATTTATTTTTGAAGGATTTATTCTTAATTAATGATTGCTATTTAATTTATTTTTAAGTATAAACATTTTTGCTGTTTATTTTATTAATTATTTGGATAGTTTTTTTGTAATATTCATTTATTAGTGAGGTATTTAGAAAAATTTGAAATATTCAAAATACTTTATATTGAAATTAATTATTGCTGCATCTATGCAATTTAAACAGTTATTTCAAGAAATTTCACAAAAAAAAATGTTTCTTACTTATAATTGTATTTCCACTAGCGAATAAAATAATATATACATTATTTACTCAAGTGTTCCCCCTTTTTTATTAATTTTTTCATGCAAAAAATGAAGAGGGAAATATTTTATGCATAATTGAATTTTTAACGAATGCAGTTACAGTAAGAACTTAAGAAAAGAAAAATATTCATTGGATAAGCTACTGGTTACTATGACTATATTGTTTATTTAAATGAAACCTACATTCCAATAAAAATACATAGTAGTATTAACATTACAGTGTTTAATAATTTATCTTCATTTCTCCTTCCCTATGTCTTGAATATTGCCCACACTTATTGTCAATAGACCTTAAATCATTCAGTTCTGCTAGAACCATGTCATCTGCTGCACATTGCAAGTTATCATCTTCATCATTATTCTGTCTTCCATCATGCAATGATTTTCATAATCATCAAGAACATTAGATATCCCTGTTTTCTTGAAGCTCTTCACTATAAATGCTCCTTAAATCAGAACCCATGCACTCAGAATGCATCAGCAAATCAATAAGATGAAAATAAACACTACATGGAAGAATTTGTTGTAATATTTAGTGGAGTGTGCTTTCTGATCATTTTGAGAAAGGTAGAAATTATGTGAATATTTAAAAAACTTTCAGAACCTTGTGCTGAAAATCTAGAAGTGAAAATACATGAGTAATTTATTGGTGGATATTTATCACTTTGCTTAATGAATGACTAACAACTGCAGTAAGAACATTCTGCAGCAGTAATGTTACATCTGTCGACAAGCTCAGTAATCTTCTGAAAATCTTTAACAATTACTGTTCTTAAGACACAATAACACGCCGAATAAATACTAATTCAGAAATCAAACAACAAAAATCAGCGTTATATTTACAAAGTTTTCACAGGACTAGTTTCGATGGTTTTACCGAACCACCATCATCAGGCAGCTGAAGATGGTGGTTCGGTAAAACCATCGAAACTAGTCCTGTGAAAACTTTGTAAATATAACACTGATTTTTGTTGTTTGATTTCTGAATTAATTACTGTTCTCCTTCTGAAAAGGGGAAAAAAGAAATAAGGAAGTGAAAAATCAGAATTTTTGGAGACAATTGGATATCTCAAACCTTTCCTTAGTCATCTTTAAAGTGGTGGAGAATAAGAGGATTTATCACATTCCCCCATGCATGCTCTTGTGGTGTAAGCAGTCGCACATTTTTTTTTTAAGATCTATGATTTGAATTCCAGTGAGGGCACATTAAATTTGCCTCATTTCTGAAGCTCCAATGCTGTAAATAGCTGTAGAGAAGTATTCGAACTAAAATGTGCTTGACTATGATTTGCCACTGCCTAAATTTGGTTGATTGGGTCTAGTGCCTCTTCCTATTTGCTCTTTAAGTGGAGGAGAATATAAAAAATTACTTATTTCACTAAAGTATTATAATAATTTATATTTATAAAAATGTTAGTTTTCTTGTAAAATATTGATTTTCTTAATCTCTAAGAAATATTTAATGGCAAACAAATCCTTTCAAAAGAAAAAGGCCTATCAGTGGCTAAAAAACATTGGTAGTTCATCCCAAGTTTAGTTGCTGGTGACTTATGGCCTGCTGCATTGCTCTTATTGTATATATTAATATATACTATTCTATTGCATATGCATTGAATATGAATTACATAAATTAGTATTGTTGTATATGTTAATATGGATTGTATTGTGTATGCATTGTATATGAATGGCATTAATTAACATAATTGTATACATTAATATAAATGATAAATCTGTTTTACTATAGCCAAAGAAAAACTCATGTGATTATGACAAAGCAAATTCTTATTGATCAAGAAGAAATGGCAGCTCTTGAAGCAGATCAAAAGAAATTTCTTGAAAAAGCAATCATTAACTACTTAAAATGCTTGTGTGGTACAGATACTCATGATGTATGGATATTTCGTCTAATTTCCTTGTGGTTTGAAAACTTGTCACATAAGGAAATAAATCAAATTATTTCTGTAAGAAAGTTTTTTTTTTTTTTTTTAAATCTAATGTCATTTGATTAATATTCGGTTTATGAGGTGTTAGATTAATCTAAGTGTTTTTAAGTACAGGTTTCTTCGAAACAATAGAAAATAATAAATTATAATAAGTTTAATTATGAATTACAAGAAGAAGTAATAGAAAATCTGAAAAGTTTTTAGTGAGTCCTCCCTCTTTTAAGAATTTCTTGGTCTGTTCATTAAAAGCATTTGAAAGTTAAAACCATGAATTACGTGTATTCCTCCCCCCCATTCCAAAAAAGAAAATGGTTAATTTTTCTGATTATTCATTTGCCTTCTGCTTTACATAATGTTTTAAAAGTATTTATAAATTTATTTAGATTAGAAATAAATCCATACAAAACTCTTCATAAGTAAGGATTTAACATTAAAAAATGATAAAATATAAATTTATTAAAAAAAATATGGAAAACCATTTAAAAAAATATTGTTAACTGATAAAAAAGAAATTTATTGGGGGGCGGTTGTTAGTAAGCAACATCGCCCATGTGTTTAACTGCAGCTTTAACAGGAATAAGGGAAAATTTCCCTTAGAAAGTTCATGAAAAGTCCTCCATTTAGGCAGATAGTTCTTGTATGCTTTGCTATAATTTAATCCATGTTACCATGTAACTCCAAATGGAAAGAGCCAAATTTAAAAGTGTTTTACAAGTTAATCACACTTAATAAACAATATTGAAGTAATATATGATACATACAATTAGTTTTCCAGAATCATGCATTTACATAAATGTAAAACTGAGTTTTTTATCACCTTCATACTTTTCAAAAACACATACTCAACATAATTAATGAGAAAAATTTCATATCGATGTACTTTTCTACATATTTTATCTATAAATTCAAGACAAATGAAAGTAAAAGGATGTATATATAGAAAAAGAATATGCTTAAATATTATGAAGAAATGTTATCTTTTTTGATGAAATCGCTTCATTTTGAATAGTTTCATTCTTTTAGAAATGTGGTTTTGGCAACAGTTTTTCATTCAATGCTTGTATACTGGACCTCTGACTGTTGAAAATATGAGAAAATATTTATTGCTTATTTCACTGTTTTTAAGATACTGAAAAGTTGATTTTTTTTTTCAATGGGAAGTTTGTTAATTTATTTATTAAGATAATTAATATTTGTATTAAGGGATATTGCTTATTTCATGCTGCTTTTTTTCTTTTGATTTTTGGACATGCAACGCGCACAATCTTCTTATTCTGACACGCATGTGTCTCACGAGGGACAACAAAAAGAATTTCTTTTTTTCTTTTCTTTTATTAGCTAATGGCAAAGAGGATTGTATATTTTAAATTATGTCATCCACAAAGTGCAATTTTGATTGCTTATTGCTTTCTGATGATAATTTCATTCTTTTAGAAATGTGGTTTTGGCAACAGTTTTTCATTCATTGCTTTGGATACTTTACTCTGACTGTTTTCTCTTGAAAATATGAGATTTATTGCTTATTTTATTGTGATTTTTTATATTGTTTTAATTATATATAATTTTAATTGTATAAAAAGTTTTGCATGATTTTTTTTAGGAAACAAAATTCTTAATTTCCTTTATACCATTTGAATTATTCAGATTTGCAATAGGAATTTGGTTAGTTTTGTTTTTTAGTATAAATAATATTTGTGTTAAGGGATATTGCTTATTTCATTGTATTTTTTTAATATGTGATACATTTTTATTGATTATATATATATATATATATAATTGTTCTTCAGGATTTCAATTTATTGTTTGGTGTTCCCTTTAGGTATTTTTAGGGTACATTTAAAAGCTAGACAAATGCTGGTCGTGTAGAGGCTAGTTTATAATAAAAAAAGTCTATCTGAGTATTAAATTGTTTATAATTGGTAAGAATTTTTTATAATTAGCAAGAAAGCGAGATCATAGTTATATCTTAGAAATAGCATGGTGTGTGATGCTCGGATGGCTAAAAATCTAATAAAGGTACTTATAATTTGAGGAATTAAGAATAAGTTAGCTAAAATTGAATACATGCTTAATCGGAAAATCTTTTGATAATCTGATTTATTAATTTGCTCATGATAAACATTTCTGCAAAATGTATTCTATTTTATATCTTTTGACAAGTATTGCCATTTTTTTTTTTTTTTTTTCTATTTGATATCTTTAGTGTCATTTCTTTTTTTTCCCCTAGGATAAAATAAAAGATTTGCAATCTTATAAATTTTTGCCACTTATGTATCAGTTGGCTGCCAGGATGGGAACTCAAGCTTCAGCCCTTTTTACAAATACCCTTACACAAGTAAGATTTCATATTATATATAATTTTTGAGGTTTTATAATGCACTACAATTCCATTTATTCGATTTAATTAAAGTGCAGTTCTAAATAATCTATGGTTAAGTTTGTTTTAATTTAAAAGAGAGAGTTGTTTCTCCAGAGAAATTGCTTGCTCTGTGTACAACATTTTTGACAGTGACATTTTCGAATATATTTAAAATAAGTTTCGAAATTTCCATTTCCTTATTTACACTGTTATTTAACCCTTTGGGTCATTTGACGAGTGAGACTCGTCATCTGCTTACTTTGTCGAAGTCCACTGTAATCAGTGTTGTAAGTAAAATGCTGTTTCAAAAATATATTTATGTCACCAATATAAGTATATTTCAAATAAAATGTATTACTTTTACATATTAATCCATATAGGAACAAATTAAATCAGTCCCATGGGCATAAAAATCTTCAAATTATTCAGTACTCAAAAGGTTAAATAACATAGAGCTATAACTATCATCAGAATGTTATGGTAGCATTCCTTTGATCATCTTTAATTCCCTCCCCCAAAAACTGCTGTTCTTTAGATATAGCAAAAGTTTTTTATAGTTGATTAAAATCTTTTGTTTCTGTTTTTGATAGTTTATATTCTTTAGGGGCAATCTTTTAGCACAATGCAAATTTTAATCAATGCAATCCATTAATAAATGTAAGTGCTCTAAGTTCCCTTCAAACAGAGACATTTTGTAGCTCACTTTTCTAGGCAAGTATGCTGTAATCACTTAAAATGATAATATAAAAGAAGACTATTGAAAAACTAATTGCTTAGTTTAGGCATCATATTTCAGTTTTAAATTGTTTTGCTTTGTTAATTAGCGAGAATTTTGTTAAATGGAAGTTTTGCTGTATGTAACTTGTCTCTATTGCTCCCTTTCAATTGTTACAGAAGCATTTATCATGCAACAAATATTTTTATATTATTTTTTGAATGGGTTAATAGATACATTTTTTGCATTTTGTGTGATTTTGTAATTTTTATCCTGATTTCAGTTTAAGATGCTTTAAAAAACAAGCAAACTTCTGCTTAAAAGTGCCATTTGATACGATGTAAAAGTGAATATGAGTTTCATTCTTGAGAAACAGTTCATAATTTTGTTTACATTTTGCCAATTAATGCATTTGAATTAAAACTGTCTTTTACAGCCATCATTCATTATTCTTTAAAAATTTATAAAATGCTTTAGTAAATAGATTGCAATCATTTATGTAAGAAATACCAAAGTACTAAATTTAACATGAAAATATGTAATCAATTAAATAATATTATGTTGTCGAGACATTAGGATTTTTGGAATCCAGAGAGATGAAAAATTAGCAACCGCCTTCGCTGGGTATCGAACCACGGACTGCTGAAATACCGGCTCAGTATGCTGACCACTACGCCATGAAGACACGCTAAGAAAGCGTGAGAAGTACCTATTATACTCCTCTTTATAAAGAGCGACTGGGGTATTCTTAGGGTACCCAAATCGCCAAATCCTGGGTGTGGAGAATCCTCATCCAATACCCTTTTAGTTCAGGTGCCGCTGTAGAGACATTAGGATTTTTGGAAGCCGGAGAGATGGAAAATTAGCAACCGCTTTTTCCGGGAATTGAACCACAGACCTCTGAAATACCGGTTCAGTGTGCTGACCTCTACACCATGAAGGCAAGCTTGGAAAGTGGGAGAAGTACCTTATATACTCCCCTTTTTAAAGGGCGACTGGGGTTTTTTAGAAGACCCAATTGCCAAATCCTGGGTGTGGAGAATCCTCATCCAACACCCCCTTAGTTCGGGCACCACTGTGGAGACATTAGGATTTTTGGAAGCCGGAGAGATGAAAAATTAGCAACCGCCTTCGCCGTGAATCGAACCTCTGAAATACTGGCTCAGTGTCACGAAGGCACGCTAGGAAAGAAGTACCTTATAATGTAATTGTAAAATAATAAAAAAAAGAATATTGGGTGTGTGTGTGCAAGCATATCGAAAACTAATCAAGCTCTGTTATGATGACTTCCCTTTAGTTTTCTTAGTTATTCCCCTTAGTTGATTGGTACACTGTAAAATTTCATATAAAAATTTGTTATTGTTTTTCTTTGCAAGTAAATGCTGATAGGATTATATGAAAATATGTTTGTGGTATGTTTAATTAATCTAAGTAAAATCATGCATTTAAATTTTATACTGATGACTCAAGGTTATACTTTTCAAACATGGCAAATTTAATGCAATAGCAGTTTTTTCAACTTATTTACTGCATATTAATGATCTAGAAGTTTACTTTCTTAAGTACCTGGAATCTCTGTTCAAATGATAATTATGATACTTCAAGTACTTTTGGGTATAATTCATGTTGTTAGTCTCATTATGTGAGATCTGTCATTGGTTGACTAGCAAATATGTGATATGATATAATATGATAGCAAATATATATTCATTGTTCACATAGTGAAGGAAATTGCTGTTTTGGTGTATGCCATGAGAGTGTGGAATATAGGTATTTTAAACAAAGAGCTATGATATTTGATGATGGTTATTATGTTTCTGTGAATAATGTGCACCATCAGTTTCCTTTTTAATACAAAGTCAGTTACTCTGTTTTTTAATCTGTCATATAAGTTATGCATTCTCTTTATTACTAATATTTAGTATTTATTGATATATATATAGTACAAAGTCCGAAATCCGGACGTCCGTTATCGGGAATGATCTAAAATCCGGACCTCAAAGCCACAAACTTTTTTTTTTCTTTTTTGTATGCTTTACGTATGCACATTTGATTTTTCCTTCCATAATAAAACATAAAGATTTTCACTTACAAATTCCGATTCTTAATTTTACTTAAGCACTAAATAAAATACCTCTTTATGGAAAAACAATCATGTAAACATAAATTTTTGAGATTAATAATTTGGCTCCCTAGCTGAGTGTCTGTTTGGCATACAATTCAAACTGAAACATTCACCTATTTTATATCCCTGATGCCGACCTGGCGAGTCATTATTTATTATATTTTGCTTTCATCACCACATGTTTATCAATACATGACAGCTTCAGTAATAACTCATGCAGTGATGTCTAAACTTTTTTTTTTGTGTTAGTAATTGAATAACAAGAGTATGGCAACCTTTTTATGCTAACATTATACTTGGGGATGATTATAGATTTTTAAATGCTCTAAGAAAGGTTGACGAGAAAAAAAATTCAACCACATTTTTTTTTAATATATATATGCTAAAAAAGATTATGTTATTGAAACTTGTAGGCCAAAAGATTACATTTAGTGCTATTTTAATTAAGAATAGCTGATATGTTATTCACCATAAACCCAGAAGCAGCAGCAGAATATGTCGGCACCAGATGGCAGAATTTAGGGAAGACAACATTTTTGGAATTTGGGGAAGTACCGAGCGGCAAAATTAAGGAATGAGAATTTTTTATAATGTAAACTTTTCATATTCTCGACACAGCCATTGCAGGAACTTTGTAACTGAACAAGAAATTATGTCTGTTTATAGAATTAAAGAGAAAGTATTAGCACAAAAAAACGAAGCAACTTACATTGAACAACAACTTACATTGAAAGAAATGTTTAATTAAGTAAACAAATAAATATTAAGCTTTTATATATATATATATATACAATTTTGATACCCTTTAGATCATAATTGCTCTTTATTTCATAAATTACAATTTCATATTTTTAATTGTATAATTTCTGCATGCCATCTTACCAGATTTAAATTGATGATCTAATATCGAAAAAAAATCCCAAATCCGGAATCGCAGAAGTCCCGATGAATCCGGATTTCAGACTTTGTACTGTATAATATTTATTAATATTTAGCCCCTTCGGAATACATATTTACTTAACACAACTGAAATTATCTGACTTCATCTTTTAATTCATCGCTACATGAAAGCTAAATAAGAATTTGTGGTAAATATGTTAGATAAATTTTCTCTTCCAAGTAATTTGCAGCAGTAGGATTTTTATTATTATTAAAAGTAAAATTGTTATCAAAGCAGAACACAAAGTAAAATTGCATTGTAACAGTCTTTGTATAAAAATTTCAAAACTGTATTTTATTAATTTTATATGGAAGGAGAAGAGAAGCATTTAAATATTTGATGGATATAATTAAGTTTCCCCCCCCTCTCTTTTATAATGTTCATATGGTCAGTTGTAATTATTGCTACATGGGGATTATGTGCTTTTTTCATTATTTTTTAACCCTTTAACTGTCAAGTTATTTTGATGATTTGGGTACACAAATTGTCAAGTTTTTTTATTGGAAAAACCAAATGTAGCGGAAATAAACATCTCCCAATATATATTCGGGTATGACAATACGATGCACTCAAAAAAAAAAAAAAAAATATTACCCCGAGAAATACTCGGGCGTGACATTTTCGAACACCAGTGCTATCTCGGGCATGACAGTTAAAAGGTTAACATTTTGTTTTTTCTGAATTAATTTTTCAATTCATTTGTAGGGAGAAAAGCATTTTTAATATATGTACCTTTAATTTTTTTTCAAGTGTCATTAAAGAAATTTCCATTTTCTGTTAATTAGCAAAAAGTATCATTATTACTTGCAAATTCTTATGTTTCTCTTTGGTATTTTTTACTAAGGAGTTTTTGTTGTTCTCACAGTATGTAAGCTGCTGGGTCATATCTATTGTAAGAGGTGACCTGCACTGTATTTTTTGTCAAATTTTGTAATCTAATGCACATTGGAACAGCATGTGAATGTAAAATAGGATTATTTTAATCAAAAGATGTAATAGAAGTGCATGAATTGATTTTTATTTTAGACAAATGGAATGATGACCTGCAAGATATGAGTGTGTTGTATGGCAGATTAATCAATATTCTGATTAAGTAGGCTATGTTCATTTTCAGAATTCATCAGCAGTAAGTCATCTGTTGAAAATAATACTTATTAACATTAACTTTCAGTCATGAGGCAGTAATATGTTTAATATAGCATACTTTTCATAATTGAGATTCGTTAATAGTTTTCTCAGTGTGTTTATATATGTGTATGTCTGTTTCATAAAACCATATATACTTTCAAAAACCATATCAGTTTTTTGGGGGGAAATGCTTATATGTTTTTCAGAATGCATTTATTTTAAGAGAGTTTTTACGAACTATCTAGATATTTATTTGTGTGCGCAACATAGAAATTAAAATTTTAATCATTCTGTGTCATCTGTGGATCATTTAATTTTAGTGCTGATATCTGATTTATCTTTAAATGCTTGTTTTACTCCTTTTAGCTTATTAAAAGAATTACAATAAATCATCCACATCATGCATTGCCTGTAATCTTAGCTTTAAGCAATGCTGATAAAGATCCACTTGATGCAAAGAAAATATCCACCCAAACAGCTTTATTAGAGCAAGCTGAAGTACCATCAGTAAAAGTAAAGTGCTTTTTTACTTAATACTTTTCTGTTGTATTTTTCATAGGTTTAACATTACATTCTAAAATGCAATTTTTTAACATTTTTATTTGATGATTAAGTAATTGTTTCAGAGATCATAGCTGTTAAATTGTATAAGAATATTTTCTCCTAAAGGGACTTAAAACAATGAAAGTTAAAATTACATGCCTATAATAGTGACAAAATTAAGACTAATGTATTAAAAGTATCATAAATTGCTGAAATCTCTTGCTTTAGAGAAATAAAATACCTGTGTATAGGATGTCTTAAAATTCTCGATAAAGCATTAATTGCCAAAAGAATGATCCTAACAATACATCTCTGATATAGAGTACTATCACTTTCATTATTTCAGTATGTATTTAATTGAACTTGCAGTATTAAGAATGTAAATATTTTGGAACAGGCAGTATTAGAGTGCCAAGTGAACTGTAGCCACCAATATCAATTTAAATAAAAATGAATATTTAGTCTTCTTGACTGCCGAGTTGCTGTTTATTATGGATAAGCATCTAAGTAATCAATACTTTATCAACATTATTACATATATATATGGAATTCACTGCCATAGGAATAGTATTTTTAGAACTGATAGTGACTACTAGTGACAAAAGACATATTTTTCAGCATATTCTGTGTTAATGATATACAACATTACAAACACGTATATATGATTTGTGACTTGCATTAAAAAATGAAAAACATCCAATTAAAATTTAATGAATTGAGTAAGTTATTTAATTTGTGATCTCTGTTCTTTGTAGAAGAAATTATGTATGTTAAGAGTAAAGAAAATTCACTGGCTTTATTTTCTGAATTATGCATTATTTCTCATTCAAATGGACAGTTGTTTGTTATTAAAATTTTGATCTGAAGAGTATGGCTTTCTATTTGGAGAAATTCATTATATCATAAAAGTAATCCTTATACTGTAAAGGTATATTCTTCTAAAATCAAGAATAGAAAATATTGTTTATAGATGCTCATAAATAATTACACTGAATAAAAATGCAAAACCTTTGTTAAGTTACTTGAAATGTTTCTTTCTGTTAAAAAGCAGTATTACTACTTTTAAAAAATATAAATATCTAGTTCTCATAAAATCTAGCTGTGGCTCTTTAAATTTTAAATTTGAGTGAATTTCCTGAAATTTCTGAACTTAAATGTGGTTCAGATTGATATGAAATTTTGCTACATTTAGAGTTTTGAATAATTTTATTATGTTAATAAAATATTTCATTCATTTTGGTTATTTATGTGCAGTTTTTACATTTTTCCAATTTAAAAACATGTAATATGTTTCACAGTTTGTGAATTTTTATCATATTTAAATTTATTTTTTTTACAAATTAATTAAATTTATTTTAGGAAAGAATGAATGCTGCCAAGAAGATTATCTCTCTTCTACAGAGGTCAAAAATAAGCTCCATTTTAAAAAGTTATTCAGATTTGTGTGATGCATATATTTCTTTAGCTTACCTGCCAGTGGATAAAATAACAAAGAAAAGTAAATCATTTTACTACTTTTTATTTATTTTTAGACAGTTGTTACCAATGTGCATCAAATCCATTAATAAAAGTTTTATTATTAGCAGATTATTTTTCATTTTTAATGCTAAATTAAGATGTATTTAAAAAGTTTTTATGTATAAATTGAGAAAATATTATTAGCACCATGCTGAATAATGTGCTTTTATCTCTATTTGAAGTTAGCATGAATTTTCTAAATTGTTCTTATGTGATTTTGTCTGTAATAAAAACAGACATAAACATGAAATAATTATTATGTAATTAGATTTTTCTCAGACCAGCAGTTCTGTAGACAAGTCTTGATATCTGAAGCAGAATGGCATTAAATAAACTCCTGCATGTATATTGTAAAGAACTAAGCTTTATTCTGCATCAAAGTATAGGCTATGGTGGTTTTTTATGTTACTGTCTTTTGAATATATAAATTCTTATTAGTATGGAAATTACTCTTGTTAGTCTGGGCTATTTAGTCTGGAAATACCTGAAAGACTTTGTATGTCTATGTTATGCAACTGAACCACTCACATCCAAAAGAGTATAAGAAGCCATTTTTCTGAATTCTGGTTTTCTAATTACAATATTTTTACATTTACCAAAAGAAATGAATTATGAATCTAATTTAAGAAATCATTTTAAGGTTTAATTAAAATTATTATTACATGCAAATTTTCAAATTTGTTAATTGTTCTTTTCTAGTTTCATGGTATGTTAATAATTTCATACAATAAATTACATAGCATTAATGCCATGGTTCTGACCCTTCCCTAAAGCTACACATTTTCTTTCACTCTAAAATACACATTTATAGTTAAATATCATTATTTTATCCATAAAAATATAAAAGCTCTAAAAATGAACAGCAAAAAGTATTGATGAACTTCATTTTCACTCCCACTGTATAATTCAAAAAGCTCTTGACTTCATTATGAAAATATCAAAATGTCATTTTAAAAAAATCATTTTTTAAGCAATTGGCAAATTTTCATTTTCATAAACTTCCTTTTCAAAAATGTTTCAAAACTCATTACTAGTCCAGCATACCAAAGCTAATTTTGAATGTTTGGCTCTGTAGTAAGTCAGCAAGATTTTCTAATTCACAATTGAGGATCAGACATTGCATCAAGGAGTTAATTCAATATCCTTTATAAAAAAGAAAAACCATGCAAAAAACCTAAAAAAAGCAAAATTTCCATTCAGAATACAAAACTTCAAAGCAGTTTATATTTAACTCCCCCAAAAAAGATAAGGATTAAAAACAAATTTATTCACTAAACACAAATCACCTCTATAAGCCTAAAGTTAAAAAAAATCTCATCACCTCTTCTTTCCCTAAGCAGCTAAAATTTCAAAATTTCTCTCATAGCATCAGCCTTAAATAGAGCCCTGTCTGATAAATCAGTCAAAAAATTGGAACAGTCAGAGAACTCATTCAGATTCTTTGGCTCGATAGTCACATACACCATACGGCGTCTTAACCTCTTAACTGCCGTAAAAAACTTACAAAATTCACAACCCCAATGCCATTGTTATTTATACAGGCGTGCATAGTTATGTGATTTTAAAATAAAGGTTTAATAAAAAAGATGTAAGTATAATAAAAATGATGTTTGTATAATAAAAAAGATGTATGATAAAAAGATAATTAAAAAGATCCCAAAAAATGGGAGTTTCGATCAATTTATTTTTAGACCAGTAAAGTGTAATATGATTTCAGTGTTATACCTTGTAAAATCAGTATACTTAAATGGAAAGCATGGAAGCAGCATAGGCAATTTTTTCACATGAAGTCATACCCGTCAAGCATCTTTCAGAGAACAGTCACAATCTTCTTCATCTGACATATCATATTCTGAGGTGTCCGATTCTGAAGATAGCGGAAAGCCATCATCTATTTCAGATATGTTTGGAAAAAAAAAAAAAAAAGCACCTACTGCAAACGGCAAATGAAAACAGATGACACAGAATAAAAAACTATGTTTTACTCAAATAAAAACACAAGCAATAACCATCCAGTCACAATAGTCATCACTCTCAGACAAATTCATAAAAAAACACCTATTACAAACAGTAAACGAAAATGGAATACACAGATAAAAAAAGTACATTTTACTCAAACAGAAACACAAGCAAGAACCGTGCAGTCATTACTCTCACTGTTTTGGAAATATTCCCCTCTCCCTTTGTTCCCCTCACTTTTCCGAAAGAGTATTCACTTTCACATACTCTGTCAAGGTCATTGTGGTGTTGCATTCCAAAGCTTTGCGAATAATTTTACTAGTAGCAGCGCAAAGCAAATGATAGTATTTCGGAAGCGCATATATATATGCCCGGGGCAGTTAATACATGAGCTGAGCAAGGCATATATATATATATATACGCCCGTAGCAGTTAATACATGAGCTGAGCAAGGCATATATATATATACGCCCGTAGCAGTTAAGGGGTTAAAATGCACTTATTCTGCATCCTAGTTTTCCAAGAATACAGTGTTAAACAGTACGAAGTCTTTAATCCGGACTCGTCGAGACTTCGGCGATTCTGCATTAGGGTTTTTTCCGTATTATAGATCATCAATCTGGTGAGATGGCATGCAGAAATTATAAAATTAAAAATATGAAACCATAATTTATGAAATAAAGAGCAATTATGATCTAAAGAGTTATCAAAATTTAAATATATATATATATATATATATATAAAGCAAGCTTAATATTATTTGTTTACTTTATTAAACATTTCTTTCAATGTAAGTTTTTTAAAATTCTATTAACAGACATAATTTAAGACACAATAACACGCCGAATAAATACTAATTCAGAAGACAAACAACAAAAATCAGCGTTATATTTACAAAATTGTAAATATAATGCTGATTTTTGTTGTTTGTCTTCTGAATTAGACTGTAAATATAACACTGATTTTTGTTGTTTGTCTTCTGAATTAGACATAATTTCTTAATCAGTTCCACTGTTCAAGTCCTGTAATTGCTGTGTGAAGAATTCCGACTAACTTGTCAATCGAAATTTTTTCGTTTTCAATAACCTCTCTGTCACTTTCTTCACTATTGGAAGCAGTACATCGAAACATGCTTTTCCTTTGTAGATCCTTTGGCAGCTCCAGAATCGGAAACTTTTTTTGACATAATCGAAAGTTCGAGCTTACTTGAAAGCTTTATAAAATTGCTCTAACAGTCTGTAAAAAATAATAAGGCGGATCCAATTAGAAGATTAAGGAACAACGCAATTTGCAACATTAACTGAAATAGATAATTACATAATTTTAGCCTAGCTTATACTGTCTGTTATACATTAAACGTGCATGCGTAAAGGTATTATCCATTTACGCAGAAGTTTTTTTACAGAAAGTTTGTAGCTTTGATGTCCGGATTATGGTCGTCCGGATTAAAGACTTTGTACTGTACCTGTCTTTCACAACCTTTGCTTGGAACACAGAAATAGGTGAAAATAAAACAGTAAGGACAGTAAAATATTTTTCTTTGTCTTCAACAGGGATGGATCCTAACATCCTAAACATGGCTGATTTAAAAGGTAATTGTTTTTTAAGCTTGTAGAAATTCTGGGAAAACCCAGCAGGAAAGCAAAAGCCTCACTTCTGTTTTCTTTTTCTTTTACTTTGAAATCTAGACCAAAGCAGAGCCACCTCCAAGGAAAGTTCTGTCTCTCCACCCATCTAACTTTTACAGTTTGGAATATAAAAATTAAAGCTTGTGATCTTGATGTCCCATCAGTTAGTCACAAAGGGAGTGAGAAAGAAAATTCCATCCCTTACCTTTTGAAGCATGATATTTTCACTTCCAGTCTGTCATTGCCAGTTAAAAAAAAAAAAAAAAAAAAAAAAAAAAAAAAAAAAACCTGTTCTGTTTTTCCTTTTGAAAGAGCAATTTATTTTTAAACTGAAACTTTTCCATCCCAAAACAACAAAAAGCAAAAATGAAGAAGCAGTGACACCCATAAGTGAGCACTGTGAAAACTAACTTGCTATCTCTAGTCAACAAAAGTGTAGCAAAAGAAGCCTTTAAGCTGTTCTTTTCTCACTGTAATTCCTATTTACAGCCCACTAAGAAATTCCGTTTAGAGAATACTGATCAAATAATTTAATTGCCTGTTTCCTGTTCAGATGTTGAGAAAATCTCCATGTTCTCTTCTAACTCTAATTGTGAAAATGCTAACAATAAGAATTGTAAATAATATAATGATCAGCCCTTTCTTCATCTTTAAACTGCCTTTGCTAATCTAGTTCAAACTATTTCATTTAAAAAAAAATAATAATGCAGTTAATTTAAACTTGCGATGTAGCAATATTGTTTACTGTTTATAGTAAATAGGCATTTTTTTTCCACTTCTATTTTTTTAGCATTGAAATGCAAATTAAAAATCTAATGTAATTATTTAATGATATTTTAAAAATTATATTCTAATTATGATTGCTCAATGTAAATGAATTCATGAGTGAAAGAATATATGTGAGTTATCTGTGGATGTTGCCAAAAATATATTTACATATTATATACAGAAATTTTCCCTCATATTGGATATATGTCTTCTCTAATTAAATAGTAATTGAAGTGAAAATTTTTAAAAATTGAGGAAATTGGTAATTTTTTAAAAATCTAAATGGTTAATAAATGCATTCTGTATAGGATTATATAAAAGATCACTGAAATAATTTAATCTGTTATTAATATCTTAATATTTTTTAAATGCAGAGAACAATATATGAAATGCAGCTTAACAATATTTAAAAATGCCTTTGTATTTATAAAATATATATTATTCTGAAAACTGCTTTCTTCAGCTGTTTGTCAAATATGTGAAAAGTTTGGATATATGCCCTGCCCCCAATATTATTTTGAACTTTATGATTCTCAGTTTAAGTATATAGCTCTTTTTTTTTTCCTTTAGTTTTATTGAAACTGCTAATGTCATTGCATAGGTTACTAATAAAGTCATATAAATGTGTATTAAATTTAATGTATTTTCCACTTTTAAACTTTCAGATATTCTTAATTTTCAGGTAAAATTCCAGCAGATCAATCACTTTTGAAATTTAAAAATCTTCATAATATTCCTATTATTACAGAGGAAGTAAAGGTATTCTTTAAGTTTCATTTAAAATTTTTGTTTTCCTATATTTTGTAAATGCTATACCATTTAGATTTTATCACTTTAAAAGACTTCTTTATTATATTCAAACCTTTTCCTGTATGCAGTTGTACCTTTAATAATATGAACTATTACAGGGCAGGATTTGTTACAGGAATCATTCATTACTTGTGGTGTTGTGTTTTGTAATAATCTATGAAAAAATTCAATTTATTCCTGAGCCCAGCTAATGTTGATGCATTACAAAAATAAAAAAAAAAAAATAAATAAAAAAATTCCAGACTATTGGAAAAAAAAAACTATCATACTAGAAATTAACTAATTTATTAGTTATTTAAAAAAGTATTTACATGTGTATACAGTTTTCCAATCCTCAGTATGTAGAAGAATTATCTGTCTGGATATTCTTATACATCTGCTTTTGATTTCTTGTGAGGTCTAGTTTTCAAAAGGTTTCAGTTTCAAGATGGCCGTGAAATATAGCATGACATTATCATTGAAAATATATGCCTTTTTATTCATCTCAGCTTCAATGGGATACCATCTGCTTGATTGTTTATAGTTGGACCTCATCCCACATTTTAGAAGGTTGCTTGTGATTATTAATTTCTGAAATATAAATGGGATCTTAAGAAACATAGCATGGGGAAACAGGTAACTTAGGTGGAAACGTTGGCAATTTTAAATGCTTCTGGTTCTACTCATCAGCAGCACTAGTAACTGGCTTCTGCTTGCCACTCACAGCTACTGCTATCTGACTGCTGTCTGGCTACTTGCTAGAGAAAATTGCCACCAGTCTTGTCTCTGGCTACTTGCGATCTGTCCACTGTCTGTAGTAGACAAGGATGCAAGTAGGCATTTTATACTTTGGCCATCATCCCTAAAGGAAGTAGTCGATATGTTAATTTTAATGCTGGCAAATAGTTAACAATAAAGTAGACTGATGTAAAATATATACCCGTTTCAAATATTCCAAGTAGTCTTCTGATTTGGCAATGAGGGTTCTACTTTGTTTGTTACTACACTTTCTCCATACCAAAGACCTTTGCATGGTGTGGACTTTAATGGTGGAATTAGAAATGTTAAATTCGCCATTTTGAATAAAAACAAAACTTTCAAGCCACAGACGATAATTTTGACTTTTAAAAACATAGTACAATTGTAATTACTTCTTTTGCAGGAAACAATTTTTTATTACCGCTTACCAAAATCGTCTAAAAAATGTGCGAACAGCCTCTTTACTTTCATTTCCAGGTCCAACTGCACATCAAGGAAGCTGTAATCCAAAAGGATTTAGCAAAAACATCAGTGCCGGTTTCAGTGTTGTTGACAGGTTTTAGTGTTGTTAAAAAAAAAAAAAAAAAAAAAAAAAGACTATTGAAGCACGGTTCTGTGTAGAGAAATGCCAGCTTTTCCTAAAATACTATAATAAGAAGCAAATTTCATTAACTGCGAAAGGCTTATCACTCCAATAATAATGAAGACTTCTTGATGGATCAGGATAGGTTTTAAAAAGTTGGACTACAGTCAAAAGTCTTTAATGCGGACTCGTCGGGACTTCGGCGATTCTGGATTATCGATTTTTCCGGATTATAGATCATCAGTTTAAATCTTGTAAGATGGCATGCAGAAATTATAAAGTTGAAAATATGAAACCGTAATTTATAAAATAATGAGCAATTATGATCTAAAGGGTATCAAACTTTACAAAAAAAAAAGCTTAATATTTATTTGTTTACTTTATTAAACATTTCTTTCAACGCGCCGCATGGCATACATTACGCATAGCCGAAATTAGAAAATTGCAACCAGAAAACTATTTGATTTGTATTCGTGATATTTATAATGACGAGGAATTTGATTTAAATCATATCAAAGTCGGAGTACATCGAGATTAAATACTACATTTAGTAAGGAATTATAAGCCGAATAAAATAAAAACATCTGCCCTGAAAATAACAATAGTGCTGACAGATCAACTTCCAGTTCAATGCGCACCGCGATGTCCCCCCCCCCCCCCCACGCAGAGCAGTGTGAAATTTATAAACAGATTTCGGAACGGTTAGATAAACAAAGGATATACCTTTATCCTTTTTTTGTAGCAATTCCACTTTTTGTTTGATGGACATTCGAAACATACTTTCGTTTTTCTAGATCCTTTGGGAGCTCCAGCATCGGAAATTCTATTTGACATAATCGAAAGTTCAAGCTTACTTTTATAAAATTGCTCTTACAGTCTGCAAAAAATAATAAGCCGGTTTTAATTAAAAGATTAAGAAACAACGCAATCATCAACATTAACTGAAATAGATAATTAGATAATTTTAGCTTATACCGTCCGTTATACATTAAACGCGCATGCGAAAACGTATTCTGCATTTGCGCAGACGCATATGCGCAGTCGTAAATGTCTTGCGCACACGCGTAAAACGCCTATGAGCATGCGTCAACGCGGTGCATGCGCAGAAAGATTTTAGCTTTGAGGTCCGGATTATAGATCATTCCGGATTATGGGTGTCCGAATTAACGACTTTTGACTGTACTATTGAATTATTTTATTCCCAAATTTATAAATGTTTATTTGCCTATTCAGCTGCTGTCTTTAGATGAAGGCATAATACTCTAGTGAGGGTGTCCCCCCCCCAAAGTTTTCTGTGCAAGGAACATTGTAAAATACAGAACTTTTGTTTGTTGGTGTACGAAAGTACTGCTGGCTACTTATATAATTTAGAAATATATTGTGCTCAAAGAAAGCATTTGTTATAAATAATCAAATATTTGGATCATCTTGTACAGACTTGTTGCCACCATCTTTACCTGGGGGAACTACAGTACAAAGTTCAAAATCTGAACGTCCATTATCCGGGACAATCTAAAATCTGGACCTCAAAGCCACACTTATATATATATATATATGTGTGTGTGTGTGTGTGTGTGTATTTTACGTGTGTTCATTTGATTTTTCTTCCATAATAAAAACATGTGAAGATTTTCACTTAAAAATTTCCGATTCTTAATTTCACTTAAACACTAAATAAAATACCCCATTATGAAAAAACAATCTTGTAAGCATAAATTTGTGAGATTAATCATTTAGCTCCATAGCTGAGTATCTGCTTGGCATAAATCTCAAACTGAAACATTCACCTATTTTATATCCCTGATGCCGACCTGGCGAGTCATTATTTATTATATTTTGACCACATGTTTATCAATACATGACAGCTTCAATAATAACTCATGTAGTGATGCCTAACTTTTTTTTTTTTTTATGTTAGTAATTGAATAACAAGAGTATGGCAACCTTTTTATGCTAACATTACGCTTGGGAATGATTATAGATTTTTAAATATTCTAAGAAAAGTTGGCAAGGAAAAAATTCAACAAAAATGTTTTTTCATATACTAAAAATAGATTTTGTTAATGAAACTCATAGGCCAACAGATTGCATTTAGTGCTATTTAAATTAAGAATAACATAACCATAAACCCAGAAGCGGTGGCAGAATTTAGGGAAGACACAATTTCTGGAATTTGGGGAAGCACCGAGCGGCAAAATTAAGGGATGAGAATTTTTTTTTCTTTTCTTTTTATATATATATATATAATTTAGGGAAAGCACTACGATCTAAAGTTTAGGCGCTGGGAAAATTTAGAACTTAGAAAGGTGCTTTGTAGCAGAATTTAGGACCCGCAGAGTCTGCACCAGGCGATATCTAGCGCCGGTCCGAGATAAAGCCTTAAGTATATGTGGGAGTTTATTTATTCAGGACTCAGATTAGTTTTAAGCATGTGCAAGAAATAAATGTGGGTACAGTAAATAACTAATACAATTCAGGCTTGATTCAGTATGCAATAGGAGCAAGACAAAATTTAGCGGAACATCTTGGCTTTCATCCCCAATCTTATGATACACAGCCAACAATGTGTAACGGATGCTATTAAGCTAGGCTAAAATTATTTTTACTGATTCTAAAGCATTTAAGTTAATGCAACAGACTGCGCTATCCTTAATCTTTTAATTTGATCCAGCTTATTATTTTTTGCAGACTGTTATTATTCGAGTAATTGTATAAAAATTAAGCTTGAACTTTCGATTATGTCGAAAAGAGTTCCCATTTCTGGAGCTGCGAAAGGATCTACAAAGCAAAAGCATGTTTCAATGTCCATTAAACAAAAAGTGGAATTGCTGCAAAAAATGGATAAAGGCATATTCGCCTCAAAATTATGTGAGGAATATGGCATTGAATTATTTTATTCCCACATTTATAAATGTTTATTTGCCTATTCAGCTGCTGTCTTTAGATGAAGGCATAATACTCTAGTGAGGGTGTCCCCCCCCCAAAGTTTACTGTGCAAGGAACATTGTAAAATACAGAACTTTTGTTTGTATGGTGTATGAAAGTACTGCTGGCTACTTATATAATTTAGAAATATATTGTGCTCAAAGAAAGCATTTGTTATAAATAATTCAAATATTTGGATCATCTTGTACAGACTTGTTGGCACCATCTTTACCTGGGGGAACTACAGTACAAAGTCCAAAATCCGAACGTCCATTATCCGGGACAATCTAAAATCTGGACCTCAAAGCCACACTTATATATATGTGTGTGTGTGTGTTTTACGTGTGTTCATTTGATTTTTCTTCCATAATAAAAACATGTGAAGATTTTCACTTAAAAAATTCCGATTCTTAATTTCTGTCAACTGTATATGACATAAAAAGAAAAAGGAACTTTTTGAGTTTTTTGTGAATTCTGACACTCCACTTGCTATGAATAACAGAAAAAGTGTTCATTATGCTAAAAGTGACAATCATGACAAAGTGATGATTGAATGGGTCAGACAGCATCTCGGCGAGATGTCAATCCGTACCATTGACGGGTCCAATGCTAATGGCTCAAACCAAAATATTTCATGACGAAATGAACTGAAACAATGAGTGCACATATCCGACAAGTTGGTTAACCAAATTTAAAAATCGCC